TGTTGCGGAACAAGTGGGGTTTTGTCGTGATCTGCACGAACAGTGGATGGAGAAGATGTGGCTCCGTTTCTTTGTCGGATGGCGTCGCCGCCATTAGAGGTGGTGGCTCCATTAGCATCAGTCTTGCTGACGGGGAGAAAAGCAGAGTTATGAGCATCAAGATTGTTGTCACGGGCAGCCATGATCAGAAATTTGAAGAATTGTTTTGGTTTTGTATTCTATGAAGAGAGAAAAGACGGGGATAACAAGTTTCCCACAGACGGCGCCACTGATCTTACCAAATAATCAGAACCTGAGATGGGCCAAAGACAAGCGTTTGTGATGTTGGGTGTGAACCTGCAAGGCACTCTGATGCTAAAGTAAGAAAACGAGCAAGACAGTGAGCAAGTACAGAATATGTGTATTTTAGGGTGAATATTGGATATCTGACCCTCTCAAATGAGAGGGTTTTTATAATGCCCTCAGCGTTTGGCCACTGGTCCCTATTTTCGGGGCGAGATAACCATTTCCTGAAGAATAGGTAACTGCCAGAACTAGTCGTTGGGACGGACAGACGTGCCCCTAACTAGTCGTTGGCGCGGGAGAGGTGTAGTTACGGGTACAAGCGTCTTGGCTGTTTCTGGATGGTAGACTCGTGCGTGACGGGCAGTGCCTGACGGGGAGAAGTGTAGTGACCAATGGTAAATAGGTCAGCCTCCTTTTTTGGAGGGGCAGAAAGGTAAACTTTTCACCAAAGAGGTTGGACTTAGGCAATTGGGTCATTCTAAGAGTAGAAGTGGATTGGACCATGCTTAGCTATTGGGCCAGTCCGGAACAGAATTATCATCTCAATAATATTCAAAGGCATATTGATACTCCCAATGATGCATATGCTCAGGACAGTGTTCAACAACAATGTTATATGTTTAATGCCTCAAAGCAAGCCACAACTTCCTATCATGGTGGAAGGACAAATTCCAAGAGATGACTCTTCCAGCCAAAATGAACAAATAACTAGATGTAGGCCATTTGTTGTCTGAGAATCCTGAAAAATCATCGTCAAAATATCCAATGATCTCCAAGCTATCTGACTTTTAATAAATGAGCATGAAGTCTCTAATTCTCTTCAGGTAGTGTAAAATACATTGTAGTATTGTCTTGTGCTACATACTAGGGTTACTTAGATATATATCAAGAACTTTTATAATGAAAGATAAGTTAGGACAGGTGCAAACTTTGAGCAAACATGAGACACTCTACAACTGAAGCTTAAGGAATCTTATGCATTTCTTTCTTTTTAAGATTTGCAACAAGATACGGTGTGAGTCTAAATTTGTCTTCTCTAACAACGAGTGTGTTATTTTATTATTATCTTTTGTGGACAGTATATCCATAATTGGATCAATAGATCCTTTGTAATAATCCTAAAGGTACCTCGAGAGTGATCTCTAAGTATTTGGATGTCTAAGACAAATGAGACATCCCCAAAATCTTTCATCTCAAAAGTTTTTATGATAAATCTCTTCATTTCGAACAATAAGCATATATTGTTGCTTTTCGAAAATACATCATCTACATATAATACCAAAAAAATAAATTTACGCACACTAAACTTATGGTATACACAATCATCAACTGAATTAGTCTCAAAACCACAAGATGTGACTTGAAATTTGAAATACCATTAACAAAAATCATGTTTAAGGTCATAGATAAATTTCTTAAACTTTTAAATAATAAACATTGTATCTCCCGACCAAGGACGACGCTTATTCAAATATGGACCCAAAGAATCGCGAACAAGTATCAACCTGATTTAGAAAAACATATAATCGAGATAAATGATTTTAAGGGAATCTTCAAATCATAGAACAAATAATAGTTAGATAATTGTGCTCTTTTGGACATCTATTGTGCACATAATATTCTAGGTCCCCAAAATCGTAGGACCTTACTATCAAAAGAGGAGAAAGACGTCAAATCAACGTACACACATTTTTACCTTAAATACCTTTCATTATCGACAATCACTAACTTGAACATCAAAATGCTACATTTATCATCATGCTTTAACATCATACCAAACTTATAACATGCCAAGAACTTCACATAAATTACCACAAATATGACTAACCTCTCACCTGTGTAAGCAACTCCGATCCACACGAGATCAATATTTAATATTGATTTTTAATATTTTAATACAAATCAATAGTATTAATATGAAGCCTTTTTTTTATAAAAAATTAGGCCCTCCGTTTTTTATAAGTCACTTTAGAGAAAAAAATTGTACCAAAAAATCATTAATGATATTTTTCTATTATACCCTCAAGTATTTATTATCATCTCTTTTTTCAATTAGGCTTAATTGCAATTATGGTCCCCCTATTTTGTATTTTTTTGGATTTTGATCCCCCCATTTTAAAAATCATAATTTTAATCCTTTTTTTAAGTTTTGAGTTTGATTTTAGCCCCCTTTCCAATTTTATACATTTTAATAGTGACATGGCGCTATCTAAGATGATGTGTCAATGCCATGTCATTTAAAAAAATTTAAGTTGAGATTTTTTTATTGATTAGGATAATTTATTTATTAATATTATTTAATTAATAAACTAGATATATATTAAATATTTTTATTAATTTTTATATTTAAATAATTAATTAAAATCTTAAGATAAACACTTTGGACCTAATATTATTCGCTAATATCTTTGGTCAATCTTTCTAATCCAAAATTGTTTTTTTATTTTTATGTAATATATATAAACATTAAAAACATTTGTAATGTAAATAATATGGGACTATTATGAAACATCATCTATTGATTCATTATACTATCCATATTATATTTTCACATGCTACTGCTATATTTTCCATCTTTTCAAAGTGAAGAAGAACTCCTCCATTTTAGGTTTGGATACTACTACATGTTGCTAACATTATAAATGTAATAATAAGGATTCACTTTCACTTTAAAAACTACTAAGAACTACATGATTGGTGTGAAAAGTGAGTGACTTATTTAATAAAAAGTGATATAGCAAAGTGCAGTCAGTATGTTCAATGTCTACATGTAAATACTTCTGATATGAATCACCGTAGCGATGCCACTTGTATGCATGAAGTTTATTTTTTACATTCCATTATCATGTCAATTTCACATCATCATCAGTTTTTCATAGATTATAGGATTGCATCTTTTTGTTTACTAACAGGAGGCATTGATCCTCATGGTGTCAATGGTAATATATTTTCATCAAATATATGATTTTCATAGATTATAATATTTTCATAAATTTTCTTTGTAGGAACTAATCAATGTGTCTTCAATTCCGCCAAGAAATCTTTTGGAATTGATGACTTCCTAAAAATCCCCAATGGTGTCAATGGTAATCACACCACAACCTTAGACATTTGGGATCTATTTTAAAACGTTCTCTTACTAACGCAATGCAACCTGAGAACGGCAGGTATTGAAGAAATGAGATATCATGGTGGTAAGATATTACGCTGGTTTAAATATTACGTTGTCTGCTACCTATAGTTCCATTCGACATGTGTTTGCTTGTATATATTGTTCAATAAATTGAAATTTTGTCATGTGCTATCAAGATTGAAAGTGTTTTTTTTAAAGATAGAAAGCATAGTAGCATGTTATGAGATAGATGGCATAACAAAACAATATATGGTGTTTCATAATAGTCTCATATTGTTTATGTTACAAATGTCTTTAGTGTTTATATATAGAAAGATGGACTAAAGACTTAGGTCCAAAGTCTTTCATTTAATCATTTAAAACTTTGATTAATTAATTATTCATAAAAATTAATAATAAAATGTTACTATTAAATTCATTTATTAATTGTAATGATATTAATAAATTAATTATCCTAGTCAATAAAAAAGTCTCAAATTAATTATTTTTAAATGACTTGGCATTGACACGTCATTTTAGATGATGCCACATCACTATAAAAATATAAAATTAGAGAAGAGACTAAAATTAAACTCAAAACTTAAAAAAGAGATTAAAATAGTAATTTTTAAAATAGAGGGATCGAAACCCAAAAAAATACAAAATAGAAGGACCATAGTTGCAATTAATCCTTTCAATTATTTAAATTAATTTTTCTCATGCAATTAATGAAATACAATATTTAGGGATAGCAATTTGACTCATCCCCGGTGAATATCCACAAAATTATCCACGAGTAGGATAAAAACTCACAAAAATAGATAGAGTAGAGACTCGAATAATTACCTACTTAAATAAGCAGATATGGACACCTTAGTACTCACCCCGCCCCATACACGCACAATATATATTTATATATTTTAATTTATATTATTATATAAAAATAAAAATTTATAAATAAAAAAGAACATCAATTTTAAACTACCACATTTAATATAAGTGATCATTTATTTCATAATTCAAAAATAATTTTTTTTTAACTTTTTAATGTTTTAAAAACTTAAAATAATATGATATTTTATATTTAATATATTTATTTTTATTAAAAATGCAAATAACAGATACGGGTATCAATGTTGATACCCAAACAAATATAGACTCAGGTACGGAGATTTTTTTTAACAACAGATATAAACAAGTATTATAGTACCCTATATCATTTCTAACTATATTATAAAATCTTTCATAATTTCATTTCTTTTTTTTATATGTAACAATGATTATGAAAAATTCAAAACGACTTGTAAAAAAAAATACTAAGGGAGTGCTATATTTAGTTTTCTTTAGATGGTTTGACACAAAAATATTTTAAAATTGTCTTACTATAATTAGAGGAGGGTATTATTTGGGGCCTAGTAAATAAATGTGTACCTAAGTTGATCTTATTGTTTGTCTAATACTGTAAAAGTGAGGATTCACCGCAACTTGTAGATTGAAGCACGTAAAACTAACTTCTATATAAGCTCTTCACTTTATCGCAAAACAATAAATATACAAAGTTCCTTATTATAGTGCATTGTTGAACACATTATCTTCCATAAAAATGTTCTTCCAAATTCTGTTTATTTTTTCCTCCATTACTCTTAGTTCTCAAACTAAGAGTCACTATAACTTTGTTGTGAGTCTCTCTTCATAACCATATAATTAACATATTTTTATAGTATCTTACTTGAGTAATGTTCCAGGTGAAAGAAGCACGTTACACAAGATTGTGTTCAACAAAAAGCATATTGACTGTGAATGGAAAATTTCCAGGACCAACTATCAAAGTCCACAAGGGTGATACAATCTTTGTTGATGTTTACAACAAAGGAAAATACAACATAACTTTACATTGGTATATTAATAATTTCAATTTTTGAAGAGACATATACAAAACAATAATTTATGGATGGTATATTAAATAAGTTGTTAATTACTATAATTGATTAAATGGGCAGGCATGGAGTGAAGCAACCTAGGAATCCGTGGTCAGATGGTCCTGAGTACATAACTCAGTGTCCAATTCAACCAGGAAGGAGATTCAGACAAAAACTGATTTTTTCAATAGAGGAAGGGACTTTATGGTGGCATGCTCATAGTGATTGGTCAAGAGCTACTGTCCACGGAGCTATTCATATCTATCCTAGTAAAAATTCTACCTACCCTTTTCCAGAACCTTATGGACAGATACCTATCATATTTGGTATGAAATTTTTTTGATGTTTGTGATTGATTATATATTAATGTACAAGAAAAAAAATTTATTTGAATTGTTGTACTCCTAGGTGAATGGTGGAAGAGTGATGTAAATGATGTTTATAGAGAATTTGTTGAAAGTGGAGGACCCCCAAACGTATCTGATGCTATAACTATAAATGGTCAACCTGGAGATTTGTATCCATGCTCCAAATCGGGTGAGTTCATCAACATTTCTTTTTATTTTCATATAGGCTAGTGACTAAATTCACACACTTACAAGAAATGAGAAATTTTGGGTTAAAACTTAGACTCTTAATACTAGTAGGTTTGATTTTGCGGCAATTTTGTCATGTTAACTCAAAAGTCAGATTAAATTTACATGTCTACGTAGAAGTTTGTTTTGTTGCTTCTGGAAAACTAACGCCAAACCAAACACTCACTGTGTCTTTAAAACTATATGAAATGTTTCAAGATTTCTCTTTATTATATCTATATCTATATTATGATCTAGTTTTTAATAGAGTAGTATAAAATTACTTTACTTTCATAATTGATCTTATGAACAATAATAACTTTTAATCATGAACATGTTATGTTTATAGGGTAGAATTTAGTTATTTTAACATATACTGTACATTAAGAACACTTGACATAGGTCCCCTTAACCAGGCATGTTTTTTTTTTCTGGTAACCTAGTGGTCAAATTTTTACCCATTAAAGATGGTAAATGAAATGTGACATTTGAACATACTCTACAAACAAAGATATTTTTACACAATTACCAAATAAATTGACTTTACAAAAATAACAAACATCGTCTTCACTCTACATATATTGTTAGTAATAGTTGCCTTTACTATTCGATCTTTTTCATATGAAAGCATGATAAATTAAATCCCTATCAAATTTTCTTAGAAACTGAAGTAGTCAGAATCCTCAATTGTGAAGAGTAGTTAAGAATTATCATATTTTTGGTTTATTCCGTGAATGGTAAAGAGACAAAGGGACAGAAAATGTAGAGTAAAGAATGACATTTATGAAGCGGGTAGAGAGTATCACACTATTGATAGTTAGGAATATGTTAGTAAATGATATTATAATTGACCTTAAACTCTCTAATTGACCTCAAGAAAATGATTGGAGGTCAGTGTAACTCTTATAATTTTCTTTTAATTTCCAGAAACATTCAGGCTAAGAGTAGAGCAGGGAAGGACATATCTTCTACGCGTTGTTAATGCCGCAATGAATCTCATACTCTTTTTCGCTATTTCTAAACACAAGCTCACTGTTGTTGGTGCCGATGCTATGTACACAAGGCCAATGACAAAAGATTACATTTGCATTTCACCGGGGCAATCAATGGATGTATTGTTGCATGCCAACCAAGAACCTAATCACTACTATTTGGCTGCAAGAGCATATTCAACTGGAGAGTTTGATAATACCATAACCACTGCTAGAGTACAATATAGAGAGAGTTATACTCCACTTTTAACTCCTCCATCACTGCCTTATCTTCCCAACTTTACAGACAGAGAAGCAGCTTTTGACTTCTTCAGAAGCGTGAGAGGCTTACCTGAGAGATACCCCCATCCAGTCCCAAAACACATCAGCAGACATATATTAACAACAGTTTCTATCAAAACATTTCCATGTCCCAATGGCCAATCCTGTAAAGGTCCAAATGGAACCAATTTAGCTGCTAGCATGAGCAACATAAGCTTTCAAACTCCTACCTCTAACATACTAGAAGCTTATTACTATCATATCAAGGGGGTATTCCAAAAGGGATTTCCAAATTTTCCGCCTTTTATATTTAATTTCACTGGAGATAATTTGCCTCTGACCTTGAATACACCAAGGCTAGCCACTAAAGTTAAAGTTCTTGAACATAACACAACAGTAGAACTTGTTTTCCAAAACACAAATTTGGTTGCAGGGTTAGACCATCCCATGCATCTCCATGGATTTAATTTCCATGTCGTTGGATTCGGGTTTGGCAATTTCAACAAAAGTAAGGATCCGATGAATTACAATCTGTACGATCCTCCACTTAGGAATACTGTGACGGTGCCTGTAAATGGATGGGCTGCAATTAGGTTCTGGGCCAACAACCCAGGTATGTATCGTAGTGAACATGTTTTTTTAAGGTAATGTGATCTTTAAAGCACCTTAAATTTATTGAAAAAATGAAAATGGGACACAAACCAAAACCCCTGTAAAATAAACAAGAAGCATAACTAATCCTACTATTTCCAACGCAAGTACGTAGCATAGCATACTCTTATATATATATTTTTCTTAGTTTAAAACTCATGGTTGCACGAAATATTCATTCAATTACAGGAGTATGGTTCCTGCACTGTCATCTAGAACGCCACCTCACTTGGGGCATGGAGACAGTGTTTATTGTGAAGAACGGAAAATCCTTAGATGCAAAGTTACTGCCTCCACCGCAAGACATGCCCCCATGTTAATGAATCTTTTAGACATTTATGTATAAGCTTTTTTGGGCTTTTTATATATGCACTATGATAAATGTTTTAATCACATGTGTGTTTGTTTTTCCCTATGGTTCATGGAGGCAAGTGGTTAAATTTGAAGGAAACTGTATGTCTTTAAATTGATTTTATCTTTTAATTAAAAATAACTAAGTAAAAACTGAACTACTGAGACTAGGAATATTATTGACTACAATTATGTTAATAACTTTTGAAATTTCAATATTATGAGAATTTTAAATATTCTCTAAACTAAATTTCTAATTGAATCTCTAAACTTGTCATTTATTTGTAACTAGGTCTCTTAACTTACAACTTCTAATTGGATCTCTAAATTTATTAATAAGTTGTAATTATGTCCCTAAATTTTAAAATAATGAATAACTAAGCCTCTAAATTCAAGGACTTGAATATGAGTTATTAATAAGTTTAAAAATTCAATTGAAATTATTAGTTTAATGCCATATTTAAAAGTCTCCAAATAGGTAAAAACCTGCAGCATTATTAAACTTAATTTCCAAACCCATATCCAAAGACCTCCCTTAACTCACGGAATGGCAGAATTTAATCAATAGAGTTACAGCTGTAGTCAAAATGAAAACAAACAAAAAATCTGTACATGGTATTTGGAAAAATCCCTTACATTTAGGATTTAACATACTCAACAATGGTGAATCCATGGGACCTTTACCTTAAATGGATGATGGCAGATATGCCCATGCTCTCTCACCTATAGACATACCTTATAACGATAGAGAATCCTTAAAGCAGAACCTGCATGAGAAGGAATTGATTATTGAGAAGAAAAGAAAACAAACTATTGGAAGGCAGAGGTCCTGACATCTCACCAGCTGACTAACTAGAATTTGACAGTAATACATCCAATTTGCTCAAGAAAACCACAAAAAGCTATGGTAAGCTCTTGGCGCCCAGGTAATTAAGCGAAAACTTCTTGTATATGTTGAGACTGCTTTTTCCCTGGGGGAATAAAAACCAAATCCTCCCACCCTGAACTCTTTTCACTCAACTGCAACGTGGGAGAGAGAGAGAGAGAGAGAGAGAGAGAGAGAGAGAGAGAGAGAGAGAGAGAATTATCAAAATCCAAATTACTTTCCAGTTTATAGATTACAACTAATATGCAGACTTTACTACCTCCATTTTTTTCAGTACATCTTCGAAGCTACCAACCTGCTTGGTTATCAAAAGTAAGCAAATAAATAAGAAACATTCAAATGAATGATAAATTATAAAACAATACACTCTAGCATTTAACTTCTTTTACCATTTGAAAAACCAGATATCTAGCAGAGTATCCAGATTGAAATCAATGAGGATCATGTGATTACTCAATTCCACACACGTACATATTTACTTTTCATTTATGTAAGAAAATACATGTTTCTCCCTTTTCTTGTAACCTTTTCCATGAAAGAAAGATCACAAAAATTCACTCTATGTACTATAATCCCATACAAAGGGCTTCAAATTGCTATTTTCACATTGAAATGACATTCCCAAAAGATGCTTTTGTTAGCAATAAAATTTAAGAAACATCAACATAAACCAAATCATTTGCAGAACTAAAAAAAACTAGTTATTTACATCAGCATAATTGTTTTCAAGGCCATACAGTTAAGTTTGGAGCAATTTTATAAATAACATAAACACTTTTTGCCTAAATTATTGACTTATGAGGAACCGATGCCGTGGCAATCCGAAAAATGCACTGCAAATTACAAATATATTACACAACATTATAATTCAACCAATTGTTCAGCAGGTTTTCAAGTGGATCATACTAGCAGTTAGATTTTAAGTTATTCAAGATGAGTCTTGGGCATAACAGCTCTATGAGTATTAAATAAAATATGATGTCTTTGTCAAAAAAAAAAAAGTTGTCATTTACTATGTCTAAAAAAACATTAGGGAAACTAGTAATCAGCTCTGACAAATTCATTGGAATGTCAAAATAATAATAATTGATTTGATATAAAGAATGATTTAGAAATTTGTTAGCAACAAGCTTCTGACAGGCACTAAAAAAACAAGAGCAAGAGATGACAGATTCTATACCATTATATGCTGAGAAACTCCAACACCTTTAGATGACTTGGAAACCTTAGATAGTTCATGTTCAATATCTTCCTGTCCATTTAACAAACAAATGATAACTATCATATAATTTTGCTCCATCAAGCTACATGCCTAATCAAGATTTAATAATGCAAGTGAAACATTGAAGAGATCAATCGGTTAGACAAACCTTAGAAAAATACACAGGGCAATAACGCTTGTTCTTCTTTTTCACAACCAAAAGGTCTGACTGTAAGCACATATAATTACTAATCAATGGGTAAAAAGGAAGAATAACATGATCAAGTACCGCCAATATATCACATTTAAATTAGACGCCAGATGTGGAAAAATACTAAAATAGTTAGATGGTTTCTAAGCTGCCAGTCTCTAATACTTATATATTACATACCATGTATTGGCTGCAGTTAGTTCAGTGAAAATAAAATATAATGAGTTCCAAACAGATAGCTTCTGATATGCACATTAACCAAAATACAAACTTATATACAATATGGTAACTCCTACCCATCCCCCCTCATTGCCCAAACAGTCCTTTAAAGGACCGAAGGCTGCAAAAAAAAAAAAAAACATACCTGGAAAACAGGAACTCCGTCAAAACTTCTCTTGTTGGCTGTTCTGAGCTGATAAACACAATGAAAATGAAATCAAATATAATTAGCTAATTGTTTGATAGTTGAAGATATAGGCTCAGTTAGACAGCTACAATATATGAAGCACGGACACTCCAAAAACAACCTTGACACTGACACGGCAACAACGTAATCACAAGTGTCGGTGCAGATGTCTAACACGGCCACGGATATGTCTATTTTTCAGAGGAGTCGGTGCTCCATAGGCTACAATGCATATTACCAAAGCTTCTTTCTCCCATGATTTACATTTCAAACGGATAACACTTAACTTATTCAATATTGTCGGTTTATCACTGATATCAGACTCAGATGATAAACATACTACTAGTATGGCTCTAAGCAATATGTTGTGGAACAATTATAAATGATACCAACCTCAAGTGCATTCTTTATTTGAACTGGATCAGGTAAAAATCGGAATGCAATACCTTCAACCTTCAACAAGTATACCTATAACACAAGAAGAATAGTTGTATGTAAAAGAACTCCAGCATTAGCCAGGAAAATTATGAAATGGAAAAAAACCTACCTGGTCAAGTGTTATAGGAACGACCTTAGCGTTGCCACGAAATTCCTTTTTCCGCAATTGAACCTAAAACAACGAACAAAAGAATCAACAGCGTGAAATTAAGAGAATGATAAAAGAAGATAAAAAAAATTACAGAGAGAGGAACCTGAGCAAGGAATGCTTCAGCGTCTTCTTGGCGAAAGCAAAGCAATCCAATGGACTTAGCACCTTCGGCGTCAGACATAAGAACAAACTCATTGTCGGAATTGCTGACGGTGTAAACGGAAGTGCCGGAGAGGGACTTGGCGACGTGGTTGGGAGTCAGAGTAGCGGCGAAGGCTGGTTGGGTGCGAGTGTGAGATTGAATTAGGGTTCCGGCGAGACGCTTGGTGTCTTCGAAACGAGTTGCAAGGTGGTTACGGTGGTGATTGATAAACCTTGAAAATGATAGAAGAGGATTCCACTGTCCCTGAGACTCCATCTTTGATTGTAGTAGTAAGTTCTAATCCTTTACAAGATCGTGGGTAAACTATAAACACGGATTCAGGAAGTTTTACCCCATACCCCTACACTTATACTTATACCCCTACATTAAAAAATTTTGGACCAAAATATCCTCGTATAAAAATTTATTATTTTTTAATTTTTTTATATTTTTTTATTTGTTTACCGGAAGACTTTTTGGAAGTCTTCCGGTTCACATTTTTTTAGTATGTTTACCGGAAGACTTTTTGGAAGTCTTTCGGTACATATTTTTTTCGTTTGTTTACCGGAAGACTTTTTGAAAGTCTTCCGGTTCATGTTTTTTTTTTAATTTGTAATTAATATTTAAGATTTATTAATTTTATATAAAGACCAATTTAGTAAATTTTTGAATATTATACTTAAAATATAAAAATTCTATAAATAGAGAACCATTTTCAGAATATTTTCTGATCTGACCTGATCAGGAGGGATCACGGACTGGCCACGCTTCGCCGGACGGTTATCTGTTCGCCGAGGTAAGAACGAGGAGGGGGTGTACCTGCAAAGCACTCCGACGCCCAAGTAAGAAGTTGGACAGAGAGGAAGCAATAGTACAGAAAAGGGGGGCAAGAAGAGTTACCTGACCCTCTTGAAGAAGAGGGTATTTATAGAGAGACCCCAGCGCTGGGCCAACGGTCATTCGAGGTGGGCCAGACGACCAGGCCCAACCCTAATGACTGCTAGGGCTTACGTGGCGTAGTGAAGACCAGGACGTGGTCTTCGCCCTAGTTCAACCGCTCCTAGGTCTCCGGAAAGTGGGTTTGACCTGCTCTTTCGGAGGTGGGCGGTTGGCCGATGACGTGTCCCCGCGGAGGGGAGCACGTGGAGAACGTGCGCCGAGCACGTTATTCTCCCGCGGAGGGAAGCGTATGGATAACGTGCGCCGAGCACGTTATTCTCCCGCGGAGGGAGCCCGGGTAGTCTCGCTCGTCTGGTGTGACGGACGACGAAGGGGATGCGGCGTGATGGCTTGTGCCCGGCGGACGGTCCTGCTCGTCCGAAGGGGCGTGTGCCAGGTGTGCCCAGTTCGCCTGTTGGGCCGTATTTGGTATTGGGCCTGCCGAGGTGAGGCCCACACCGGAACAGGAGCCCCCCAAGTCGAAGCTCTGGGGAAGAGCGAGGACTTAAGGTCGTCATGTCTGGAGCGGGGGACTCGTGCGAAGGGCTCCGGTCGTCGGTAGAACGGGGAGGAGGCAGATGGAGAGACGCGACTGTCAGGCTGCTTCCACGTGTCTTGCGTTGAGCGGTCGTAGGGGCGGCTAACCTATGTCATTAATGAGCCTAGGGTCGCTTCGAGCCTCGCGCCGGGTTATAAATATGGCGGTCCCCGCTCATTCTGCTACTTTTCTCCCTGTTGATCTTTCATCGTCTCTGCCCGTCCGCCGTTCGCCGCCGATCAACGCCGTGCCATTCGCTTTTTCTTCCGTCCGCCGCCGTTACAAGTGAGTTCCTCTTCTCCCTCTCTTTTATTTTCGTCGTCTGACTGGGACGTGTGGTCGGGGCGCGATGAGCGCCCCGAGGAGGGATGCGAGTTCCGCCGCGTCTGGCGAGTTTTCCGATGAATGTCCCGGGGACGGTAGGCTAGTTCCGATGAATGCCCCGAGGACGGGGGCTTTTCTCCGATGAATGCCCCGAGGACGGGGGCTTTTTCTGATGAATGCCCCGAGGACGGGGGTTTTTCTTCGATGAATGCCCCGAGGACGGGGGCTTTCTCTGATGACTGCCCCGGGGAGAAGTATCTTCTCCGACGGCCGCCCCGAAGGGCTGAGGGGTCGTTCTTCGATCCCCGAGGAGGGTAGGCGGGGAGCGAATGCCTGCCCGCCGCCCCTCGGCCTTTGTCGCCCTTTCACTTGACTTGCGGTGGAAGGGTGGATTTGATCCTGGCTATCGAATTCACCGAGATCCTCTGCTTTCAGGTGTAGATGTCGGCTCTGGTGCCGGGGATAATGGTTGAAGATGATGAACCCGAGGTCCCGGAGTATGACGACGGGCGCGTCTCCTTGCCCGAGGAGTGGGCGGCCGAGGAGCCACTTACCATCCCTTCTTGTTTTGTGGTCGACCCGTCCGACGTGTACGCCACGGTCGAGGACACGCCGCTAGGAGAAACGCAACACTGGCAGGTGTATCGCCCGAAAGCGCACCATCGGATCTGCTCGCGCTATGGGCGGAAGATGTTCCCGATGTATGAATTTTATTTTAAAGAAGCTCGGCTCCGGTTGCCGTTCTCTGCCTTCCATCTGGGGATATTTGACTGGCTGCGTCTTGCCCCGTCTCAGCTGCACCCGAACGCTCTGGCTTTCATCCGGGCTTTCGAGGTGGTGTGTTTCTACCTCTCGGTGGAGCCGACGGTGCCGTTGTTCTTTCGCATCTTTCATTTGCAGCGGCAGACGGTGCGAGGTCGTCACGGATGGGTCTCTTTCAAACAATCGACAAAAATTTTTAAAGCGTACAGTGATTCTGTCAAAGACTTCAAGGGTCGGTTCTACCTCGTCAAGCCGATCACGCAGCACGGCTCGGACACTCTCTTTGACGAGGGCGAGCGCACGGTAGATGGCCAGTGGTTCCGAGCGTGGCTTCCCAAGATACATCTGCTGTGGACCTCGGAGCATTTCAGTCGAGGGACGGATAGGTATATCGTCCGGGCGGGAACCCTCGAGGAGAAGGACATGGCCGCTTATCTGAAAATAATTGCCTTTGTGCGGTCACTTCCCCCGTCGAAGCTGGTGACGCCCGACGGTCGGTACATCCTCGATGCCCAGGGGAACGTACGCACTAAAAAGCGTTTGATAAATACTAAGACTTTGCTCGGCTGTGCGACCGGGGCGGCCGCTCTAGATTATCTAGGTAGGGATGTTTCGTTTTCCCTCGTTGTCGGGGTTTTTGATCGTCGCTAACCTATTTCTTTGTTTTTGCAGCGAACATGTCTACTGTCGACGAGCGGGTGAAGCAGTTGCGTGCTGCCAGGAGTGCCGGGGTCCCGAGGACGAGGGTGAGTCAGCTGGTCAGTCAGGAGGTCGCGACGCAGGGGGGCCAAACTTCGTCCTCGTCGCCTCAAGAGAGCCAATCCCCTGTGTCCCAAGGAGTGTCGAAGAGGCAGAGGTCCGAGGAGCCTCGGGTGGTGGATCTGACGGTCGGCGCCGTCGAGGAAGGTTATGTCGTCCCTCCCTGCCACCAGCACCCGGGGTATTTTCATGGTGCCCGTTCCCCCACCGTTTCCGCCGGGGAGGTGAAGGCTGTTCGCCAGGCTGATCGGGAGGCCCGTCGGCGTGTCCTGGCTGAGGACTTGGCCGCGATGATGCGGACGTTTACGACGGCTCTCGTGCTGAACGAGGAGGGCTGCTCTGCTGCTGAGCTGTCCAAACTGCAAGGGGATCTCACCTTTACGCAGTCGCGGTTGGCCAAGCTCACCGAGGAGTTGGAGAAGAGCCAGAAGGACGTTGCTGAGGAGCGGAAACGAGCAGAGGGTGCTGAGGGGAAGGTGAGTTCGCTGGAAGAGAAGCTGGGGACGGCGACGGCCGAGGTGCAGGCGCTGAAGGTTCGTACTGAGGTTCTGGACAGCGCTGTTCGTCCGGCCGAGGACGAGACTGAGGGGGATCGGCGTTTAATCACCCGTGCTGACTTGATCGCCCGTATCCGGGTGTTGGAGAGCGATTGTCTGGAAGCCGTTGAGGTCGGGTTCAAGAATGCGGTCGAGCAGATTCAGGTCGCCAACCCTGGTGTCGAGCTGGTCGTGGACGGGATAGGGCCGTACCACGAGATCGTTGATGGAAGGGTGATCGATCCTTATTTCGTTATCCCCGACGAGGAAACCGTGGCTGCTGACCGAGCTGATGAGGAAGTGTAGGTTGCCGGGCCTGCGTGCTCGTTGTTTTGTGGCCTGCGTGCCGGTGTTTATCTTTTGCTTTGGGCCTGCGTGCTCGTTTTTGTACTATTGACTACTGGGCTGGTGCCCGCTTTTGTTAAATATATTTATCATGGATTTTCTAAGTGTGCGCTCGTTGTTTGCATGTTGTTTTATGCTCGTTTTTCGTATTTGTTCGAATGCCTTTGATGTGTATGACATTTCTTGTAGATTTTCTAAGTGTTCGCTCGGTGTGTTTAGCTCGACAATTTGTTACCGGTAGTGTAGGGGACTGGCCGGTCTGGCCGGGGATGTAGCCGGGCCTTTTCGGGGGTAGTTTTCCCCGGGGCGTGGACGGCCCATCGCGAGCTGGGTGTCCTGCCTGTTTTGGTACGGCGGCGAGGGGCCTCGGTCGAGGTATTCCCTGCCGAGCAAGGCCTTCTGCCCGCGCACACGAGAGGCAGGGCTTGCTTTCTTTGGTCGTTGGTGGACGCGGGGGTGTGCGGTGGTACCATGTCGCCCCCCCAGTGGCCGGGACGATTGGTCGTCGCGGGCAATGTGTTAACTGTAGTACTGCTTAAGCTTCGCGGCGTTCCATGGTCGAGCTAGTTGTTCACCGTGCAGGTTTTCGAGGTAATAGGCCCCGTGTTCCGTTTTGTCCCGGACTCGGTATGGGCCTTCCCAGTTCGCCGCCAGTTTGCCCTCGTGGGAGTCCTTTTGATTTCTGCGTAGAACTAAGTCTCCAGTTTGAAAATCGCGTTTTATGACTTTGTGGTTATGGCGAAGTGCTACTTGTTGCTTCAGCCGGGCTTCCCGGAGGGCTGCTCCTGCGCGGATTTCTTCGACGAGGTCGAGCTCTTCTCGGAGGGAGCCGTCGTTGTCGTCGGTGTCTAGGGGAGCTTCCGTTCGTCTGGACGGTTCGCGGATTTCGACCGGTATTACGGCCTCGGTTCCGTACGTGAGGCGAAATGGGGTCTCCCCTGTAGTTGAGTGAGGAGTAGTACGGTATGCCCAGAGGACGCTGTGGAGTTCTTCGACCCATGCTCGTTTGGCGTCTCCGAGGCGTCGTCTGAGTCCTCTGAGTATAACTCTGTTTGCCGACTCCGCCTGGCCGT